GGATCATATTGAATTAATTCTGAAGTGTAATCATGCAAAGTCTTTGCAAACATTGACTTTGTGTCTCCATTTTGCTGCTGGTCAAGAAGAATGGACTGAAACCTTTACAGACACATATAGACACAAAGTAATTGCATGTTGGTTTTTTCTTTTTTTGTTTTTTGTTTTTTTTTCCTGGCTGATTCCACATAAAATCCCTTCGCAAATAGTGATCTGCAAATCCTAGCAAGAGCTGAAAGCACTAACTGATGCAAGCTGAATTATAGCAGAAAAACTGGACTGGAACCAAAACTATACAGAAGTGTGTCTGCCATCACTCTTAAGCTACACCCAGCCAAATGAAGGTGTCCAGAAGGTGCTAAAAACTCATATGCAAGCACAGTGCACAGCCATCAATCACACTTTCTAGGCTAGCCCAAGGTTTGGGCTGGAACATTTTTCTCCTCCCACCCATAGTTTGGATGACTGGCAAAGCTGTTAGATTTCACCTGGTCTTTTCGTTGCTTGGCAAAGCCTAGAAAGCAAGCCCAGAAATGAAGGAAATCAATTACAAAAAAATCTGTTCTGGTTTCAAGGTGCCATTGGTGCAAGTGCTGAACAGACTCACTCACAGGTAGCACTTTGTAGTGCAGGCTGGAATCTCACAGCAGCTCATAGCAGAGCAATGAGGAATTCCAGGGACCACAGCACACTAATTGCTGCTGTTTCCCTCTCATTGTTTTCTAATGAAGACCAAAGGAAATGCTGCTACTTAAGAAATAAGTTATTAAGAGTCACAACCCTGAGAAATCCATTTGTATGTTCTCCTGAGGACTTGGCTGTTGTGGCTGCCCGAGATAAATGGCATCTGCAGAAAAACAGAGAGAAGGGAGTCCCAACAACAGCACTAGAGCAGATTTATTCAAAAGAACTGAATAATCAGTCTGATAGAGTAAATTTTGTTATGAGCTGCTGAATCACAAGGAAGAGTCTGAAATACTAAGGGAGGAAGGGACAGGCAGCTGCTGACTTACAGCTGGCTAACAATGCGTACCTTCTCAGGCTGTGCTTCTTCTGTTTGCAACTGTGTCAAGAGGTCTTTAACTCAACTTTTCTTTTCTTACCCTTTTCACTGTAGACATGTTCTCAGGTGGAGCAAAATGAATTATTTGTAGCTATCAAGGCGAAAATTAAAAAGCACCAGCAAAGCTTGCCTAACATCTTAACATATTCCACATCTCTTCCAAGCTCATATTATCACTTTGAGCAGAACAGCATAATCAATCCTCCTACATCATTTTCAGTGCTGTAAGAAGTAGCTTTTCCATTTGCTTTTCATAGTTGAGATGTTGTACACTTGCAATCCACCAGAAAGACCTTAAAACAGGGAAATGCTTTTTGTTCCTTTACTCCACCACTCATCCTTCATCACAAAAACAGCATCAACAAGACCCTGCAATGTCGTTACCTCCACCTGTTCTCAAATACCTGGTACTCAAGGCTTTATTTTCTGAAAATGGCACTGAATTCAGTGAGCTTGTTCCCACGAGTAAGGAACAAATTGGTGAGTTTACTTGAATGGCAGTTCCATGTACTCATATCTTCATCCTGAGCTAGCTGTCAAAGATAGCCGAAATGGTTCCAGTCTAAGCAGATTAGGTTTCTTCTACTCTGAGGAAAGACAGCTAAGGAAAATAAAATATCCATGTAATCAGGAGTGGCATGGATAAGGGGAACAGGTGATGACTGAACACACACTCTCTCAAAACAAGAATGAAAGGGTTTTGGATTAAACCACCATAAAAAACAGCTTCAAAACAATCTAAAAGAAGAGATTCCCCATAAGTGTGTACTGCAGCAAGGGAAAACCTTGTCCAGGATGTTGAGGATAGCAGAGATAGATTAAAACCAGAAGCATTTCATTAAAGAAAAACATACAAAGAGCTGCTAAAAACAAAAAAAAAAACTGCCTTCATTTTATGAAAGCATTGAAGCACAGACTGCTCAAAGAGCAAGAATGTTTGAAGTACTAACACTACCCTTGCCCTTACACTGCTGTAAATGAGACTCTGGGCTTGATTATTCTTATATTCTTACAAATGCCTTTGGACAAGAGACCACTGGGGAGAAATAGGGGGATATTGTTACGAAATGCTTATAGTATTCTGATAAATAAGAAAGAGGAAGAAGTACTCACTTGCAAAAACTTCACAGTGTCCTTTTCAAAATGGAGTCATGCTTCTTGTTCCAGCAATTACTTCAATGTTGTGCCATGGGCTCCTCATTATACTTTTGAGTGAAACTTGCTCTGAAATGCTATTGTACCATACAACACTCTCGTTCTTTGTGTCCTCAAACAAACCTGCTGACCTGAGTGAAAGCACACATTTCTACTCTTTTGAACTCATTTGCCTTATAAATTTTCAACCTGCTGACCTGAGTGAAAGCTTTACCCTCTCATGTGTCATCAGAACCAGTTGATAGTCACACATCTGAGGAATGCATTCCTGAAGGCATCAGGAGTTGCATGAGGAGTTTGTGCTCAACCTGCAAGAATTTTCTTGGTAAAGAGAACTCAGGAGAAGCAGCAGATGTAGAATGGCTCTCAGGAATACCTCATGTAATAATAATCTACTACTTTGCTCATATGGAAATGAGTATTTTTAGAAAAATGTCAGGCATCACTAATTACTTGTTTGTTTATGGAAAGCCCTCAGTAATTTAAAAGCACAGCGATCAAATGAACATACATTCAAACACAATTGCATGTACAAACCCTGCTGGAACCACAGTATGTATGCTGCTACTGCTCCTACCACAACCAGCATCCACAGGATGAGTCCTCCCATCCCTCACTACACTGCCCCACTCAGTACTAGGCAACTACATAGAGAAGTAAAAAAAAAAAAACCAACACCAAACCAAAAAAAAACCTGGCTTTTTGGGCACGAAAATTATGAGAGATTTCCCAATTTCTTACAGAGGAAAGGGTCTGTTCGGTGCATCTGGGCAACACAACAAAGTTCTGACCCATTATTTCTCCAAGATACGGGAAGAAGAAAAAGGTGAAGTAATCCACAAAACTTCAAATAATAATTTCCTGGGATACTAAGGGATTTGGAGGGCTTAATGCAGACCTAAGGTGTTCAGATAACATTTCATTTCTAGCCACATTTGCACAACATAAGTGATGTCCCCATTTCTCTCAAAGTTCTCTTAGCTTCACATGTGCTGATCTACAACTTTAGTCCTAAAAAAAACATTTCATTCATCACTGAGCTGTGATTCCCTCTTGGTTGATGCAGCCCCTGGATGCAACAGACAAGAGAACTGCATCAGGACAAAACAGACTGAGACCTCCAGGGATACTTTGGCTCTAACTCTCACCAACACCCATCTCAGTTTGGCCCTAAATAACTGCAAGTACCTGTGACTGCAATTCATCCAGGTGTAGTTTGGTCAGCATACAACAACAATCCTTTCTCTTTGCTGGGAACGATGATCTTGACTAGGCTGCAAAGCTGAGACAAACTCAGTGTCACACCTGCTGTCAAAACAGCCTGCAGACAGAATTATCAAGAGATGACCATAACACAGGTACTGAGTCTCCTTGCTCCTTTCTTGGGTGGGTTTGTAATGCAGAAGGCAACCCGAGATCCAGAGCAAGTCTAAGCATCAACATTTGCATGTCTGTATCAGTGGACTCCAGATCTGAGTAATTCACAGCCAACTTCCAACTCACACAGCATCGAGCTTCTGCAAATCTGAAAAATTAAACTAATGGAACAAAGTGCATAGACAGACATTACGGGACATAAATTACCAGGATTGCTATGGTAACATCACAGAGTGAGTGATAACTTTGAGGCCATGACAACATATGCATTTTATAGGAGCAGCTGATTGTCTGACTCTGCTCACTGACACCGCAACATATTTTTTGCTAAATACCTTGGTATTTGAATTTTACTGCCTCCAGCCACTATTAACATATCTTGCATTTGTGCTTTGCATAAAACCCCAGTAATGTTTCTAGTTAAAGTTCCCAAACATACATTCAATTTATATTTGATGAGACAGTGTGAGTTAAGTAAATGAGAGCTAATTAATTGAAGCATATGTATAGTGGGCTGTGAGGATTAATTAGTTAATGTTTGCAGAGTGCTTTGAAAAATGTAAAGCACCATATAAACATGAATGGTACTTTGGGAGAATGAAGGAGGGTGAGGAGATGAAGAGATACAGTATATCCTATCTAACCTTTAACAAACACCTGTTTAATATCATGCGTGGTTTGTCATACAGTGTAACAAGAAGGCAACCATATATTAGTTAAAAACTAATTTAATTTTAACAGAAAAGTAGCAGCTGATAAACAGGCCAGATTCTCCAGTTACATCTCTTTGCGACAGACCCTCATGTAACAAACCAGGGGGCACCAGGACAGTATTGGGGCTGCATTCAAGGAACTCTCAATTGGGTTTCCCATAGCCTGGTGGCTGCAGCATATTCATTCTGGCATCCCCAGCGTCCCTCCCAACTGGGTGCTGTGCAGAACCAGTGTTAGTGCCCCTGAGTAGCCCAGCATCACACCAGGCTCCCAGTCTCTGCCTGCCCTTGCTCTTCCACCTGGCTTTCAACCAGCCTGCATTTGTCCCCAAAAGAAAAAGACTGAAAGGCAATCTGATAGCCTGTGCCCCAAGCTAACAGAGCACTTGTCACCCACTCCATTTTCAGCCAGTTTCCCAAGAGAGATGAAATGTTATCAGTGACAGGCCAAGTAGCAGGGTATGGATAGTTCCCATGGCTGCCAGCAGGACAACAGTTCCAGCAGTCAGCAGCTGCAGCCCACGTGTGTTCCCTGTGGAGCTCCATTGCCAGCGCCCAAAATCCTGAACCACAAAGGCACTCAGGCTCCTACTTACACCTGAAGCCAGTGGGGACTTCCCAGCTCTAACCATGAAAATTCACCGCAGAAGGGAACAGTCTCCATGATCAGGCTCAGGGCTGCCAGGATCCACCTTGAAATCCCACACAGAGAACAGCGCAGCCCTGAAAGTTTTTGGTTACTGACTTATAAACTCCCACACACCACAGCTTCAAGGCTGAAGCCCACTTGCACTTAAATTCCCTCTCCATGACTGCTACCTGCCTCCTGAAGAGAGACAACTTTTTGCACTCCTCTTCGGTAAGATTCTGGCTCTGCTCCAGGCACAGCACCTCACCACTCTGCTGTGCAACTGTTTTTGCAGCTTGCCTGGATGCATTTCTGTCCCTGGATTACATGGGCTACAAACGCAGAAGGCCCAACAGCCAGGTTCTCAGATTCATGTGGCAAAACAGAACAGGACAGCTAGTGGCAGACACTCCCAGAGACTACAGATTTCATTACTTTCTCCTCCCAAAAGCAGACCACGACCTGACTGCACAATGTTTCTTGTCCCATCAGCCTCACTGCTGGCTTGCAGTGGCAGTGCTCTGTCGGAAAAACCTCAGCTGCTCACACAACTCTGACAGTGAATGCCACCAGGCTTGGTGTGATGCTTGGAGGAAAGGCACCTCTCTTTCAGGAAAACAATCTTAATTTGTGCAATACACTTAGCAGGGTCCCATTGGTAAGGAAAGCTTGTTTTTTTTCCTGCAGTGCCTTTCTCCTGGAAGGACATAAGCCATTCCCCTAGGAGACCTACAAAAATCACATTAACACTAACATGTTCTTTGATGATTAGAGAATTTCCCTGGCAACTGCCCAATGGTGCAGGCTGGCAAAATATATTGCCATAATTGGAAATAGACTTCCCTCCCTCTTTTGCATTACAAAGCAATCCAAGCGCAGGCCTGCAAGTAGATTTATTTATTTATTTATTTATTTAAATAATTTATTGGCTTAGGTTGGAAGACACCCTGAAGCCCATCCGATCCCAACCCCTGCCGCGGTCTGGTTGCCCCCCACCAGATCAGGCTGCTCAGGGCCCATCCAACCTGGCCATGAGCACCTTTTGCATATGGTGCCATAGTATCAATTAAACGCATTTCCTTTGAGATGACAGAAGGAGCATATTTCCAGGAATTTTCCCATAGTGATAACTGTGTGCTCATGTGGTTTCATGCAACACAAAGCAAGAACTGGGTCCCCATCTGTTCCTCTACAGTTTATGCAACATATAGCTGTATGTCTAGTGTTAATTATGATCACCGTTAATAAAAAGGCCCATAATATGTGATTTTATCCCACCTTTACTGCTTGATAGGCACCTCTTGTTCATATCTTTTTTAAGAACTTAAGACAAATTCCCTATCTATTTTTTCTTCCTAGCTAAGCCTCACTGCCAAGCCACAACTTCCCTAAGTCCATGCTTTAGAGTGGGGAAAAAAGAAGCTACAGAAATTGAACAAGCACCCAAGGTTTCCTGACCATACTTTCCTCCATCTGCACTCAGCCTGAGATCTTGCAGCAGGCCAGAGCGCACCCCAGAGGTCAGCAAGTCCTGCATGGGGTCTGGCCCTGGAGTAGCCAAAGCCTGACGCCCTCAGCCATCCTCTTACCCACAGACACCCACACCTAAAAGCACATTAAGCACCGTAACATATGGTGAATGACTTCTGGATGAGCCGTGTACCTACATGTCATAACACACAGCAGACACCGCAGTGCCTTGGCAGTTCCAGATTCTGCGGAGAGGTGCTGGCTGATCCTTCAGCAAACACCATAGCTCTTTAGAAGTTAGTTCATTTTCAAGCCAGTTAGCTTTTAAACAGTTATGAGTTACTAAGAAGCTTCTACTAAGAACCCTCTTTGGTTTTCTCCCTTTGGCTCAGCAGAGACTCCCAGGAGCCTGCAGTGACACCCAGACCCGCAAACCCTTTAACAGGGCATCAAGTACCTCAGTTATTGCAAGGAACCACAACCAAATCTACTGAGTCCACAGCAAGAATGAGAACAGAGGTTGGTCAGACTCTCCCAAGTCTCTGCTTCTTTATTGTAAAGTAGATAACACAGTTGAGACCTCTAACATTTGCTAGAAGTATTAAGTTCACAAGCATCAGCACTGACTTGGAGAAGACAACCTGGCTGCAGTAGCCTGCATAGCAAATGCTAATCTGAGAAAAGACAAAACTTTGGGATGGACACCCGCCAGGATCTGTTCCATTTTTCCAGATTAGCTTTTGAAAAAATTCAAGCAGTTCCTACTGTTGAAGCAATCATTGGTGGAAAGACAAAACCCTAATCTCTCCATGAAGCTGTGCTTGAAGTCTGCTACAGGGTCTTGAAGAAAAACATAAAGCGTGAATTATTTCTGTTGAAAGTAGAGAATTAAAGTTATGCTAATAGAAGTCGTTTGGCCATGGGAGCAGTCTTCTTGCAATTGCATAAATTACCTCCTGAACAAGGAGCTTCAACTGGAACATAATTTCTTGGTCAGACCCTGACTGATTTCCAGGCGAGCAATAACAAGCACTCCAGGGGGAACTGCTCTATCCTCAGATGAATGGAGTTAATAAGTCACAGAAAGCTGTTTAATAAACAAATTTCTCCCTTTTCTCGTGTGACCTGTATAGGAACAGAGATGCCTGCTTTCTGCAGGTTTCCCAAACCATCTCCCCACTAAATCCTTCACTTCTTTAAGTATCCCTGAGCCCAGAGCTCCCTTCATCTAAGGAGCAGACTACACGGCACTGTGTTCCTTGTCCCCTCTGCAGCTCCACATGCCTCATACAGAAACAACAAAGCTCATTATTCCTGTGGTCCCTGACTCCAGGAGAACAGTGGCAGGATTTCGGTTCAAATCTGTTAGTATCCTCAGACTCAGCCATTTGTAGCTCATAAAGAGCAGCTTAGCAGATAGATTGAGATGTTTCAAATTTATCTTCCCACACAAATAACAGACAGTTGCAGCATGAGACTTGTGCACGATTTTGCCCAAGCACCTCAAGGCTCGATGAAGCTGTTTTGCTGGAGCTGCACATTTCCCCACCCACCACCTTCCCAACACAACGATGGATGCACTGCAGGAGGAAGCACTATAAAAGATCCAAGAAGAAAACCCATGCAGAGCTGGAGCTGCCTGTTTGATACAAGAACTTTTTACTGAGCTGGAAAAAAGGTCATTCCACTTCTTTATTTTAAATTGTATCTGACTTATATATGGCTCTGTGCATTCCTAGGGAGCAGCAACAGACTTGCTGAATCACTATGAGAAAAACCTGTATCCAGGCAGATCTAGGTTTGCAGGAGTGAAGTTTTGAAAACTCTTTAAGACTAGATGGGTTGGAAAGGAGTCTGCCTGTTTGTAACACAACCTGCATTTAACATAGGACAGCTGGGTCCTCCAGCCACCATTGTAATGAAATTTAGTACCCCCAGCAGAAACTTCTATTGGAAACCTGAGGCATTTCCACATGCAGCCCTGGCTGTAAATTTGTCCAGTTTTATCTATCCCGTGCCCAAAACAAGCTCAAGCTCATCCATCTCTCCATGCCCTAAGGCGCAGAGATACCACAGATCCCAGCTGCAGGCAAAAGCTAATCTGGACTCTCACCATGCATAAGTAGAAGCCTTGTGGCAAACATTTCCTTTCAGATTGTGAGGATGGTAGATCTGATGCAGGGCATCTGTGCCATTCAAATCCTCTGTCTCTGTCTAAATGTCCCTAGGGACTGGTCCCCTGTATGCCTGCAGTAAGCTGTGCAGTACCCTACAGCTCCTTGTGATACATTCTACAGGGCTGGGATTCACAGCTTTAGCAGCACATTACAAATCCTTCATGTGAGGCACCAGAAAGGAAAGGTAGAGGTTTTTATTTACACTTGCTACACCTCCTCACCCCCTGCACGAAGCACACTGAGCCTTTCTCATCGGGTTTACGCAGGGCAGGAGCAGGTGGGGTACAGGCTGGCCAGGACTCCTCACCTCAGACTTCTGTAGGTATTTGCTGGCATACTTCATACCTTCAACATTGATGGCTGCAAATCCTCAGCAGCGTCCCTTAGGATCAAGTCTTCCCGGCCCCAAGATCCACATTAGAATCTGAAGTTTGTAACAAGAAATAGGAAAGGGAAATAGGAATGGGAAAGCTCCAGCCTGACCTCCATTTACACGCAGCTCTTCACAACCCACAGAGACATCAAGTGGCCAAATCACCGCATCGCACACACACAAATGCACTTTACTGTGGGTGGACAGGGAGGACAGTGGGGCATCTCAGCTTAAGAAAATTCAGGCTGCTTACCGAGTAGTTATTTTCCTGCTTGCCTTTGTCGAACAGTTTTCCTTTGACGAAAAAGGGCAGCCCCAGAGATGCTGGTCGGAGTTCCTCTCCCCCCAGTAGCAGCAGCTCATGAAGTGAAGAATTATGGGATAATTGTGTGCAGGTGTGAGAGATGGAGGACAGCTGGGGCATTTGCAAGCTAGGCTCACAGGCTCCCTGTGATCATGCTGCTAAGCCCTGCAGAGAGGAGCAGTCCTTAACCCCACTGCTTTGTGTGCCATCGCTGGAGGGATCTTCACTTTCCCACTTCCCAGCATAGCCTGTTGGTACATCACCTGAGAGTATGAGCAGGGATTCATAGGTGGGTGTGAAGATGAGTCCCCCCTGTGCTCCCAGCTTTGCCAGAAGGTATCTTATGATTACTTTTTAAATCCTAATTTTGTTACCCCTTGTCTAATGCTGGCAATAAACGCAGTTGAATCATGGGATCATTTAGGCTGGAAAAGACTCTGAAACCATCAAGTCCAATAGACATCAGCCATGGCTCTCCCTGCTCTGACGTGAGCATCTCTCAAACAGCCAGCCTTAAGTCAAGGCAAAACCAAGAACAAATGCATAGAGCTGCTCCAGCCCTGTGAATATCAAAGAGAAACTGCTCTATTAAACTCAAAGGACAATTGTCCTCTCTGTATTTCAGATTGGACTAAAACTGTGCTACAGGGGACAATTAATCTTCAAAATCAATTTTTTGTCAGGAGGCTAAATTTCAATTGTCTCAGGAATGCTGGTGCTGGGCTGGTAATTACTGTCTGATGAGGCAACCTCTGAATTCACTGCCCCAGAGAACACTTTTTATTAATAACTTTCACCATAAATCCCAAGTCTTTTTTTGACTTTGGGAAGAACAACAACAACAAACATGTTGCCTTATTTACTGTGTTACAAATCTCAAGCTTTCAGGAGCCAGAGGATGCACTCTGGGTTTTCATTGCAAGATAGGGAGTAGATATTCCCAGTCCCCTGAGAAAGCAAAGACCCCAGTTTGTTTGAAAAAAAGTGCAATAAAAATGCTAATTCATTTTGCTCTGCATGCATCCTTTTTCCACACACCCCACTCTGCACAGCTGCAATCATTCTGACTCCAAGGCTGCACTCTTTCCCACCTGTGAACATTGCCATGATTGCTGCCACCTGTGAGTGTCACCTGCTGCCTACACCATGGCTGTATGGCAATGTGGCTCCAAAGCTCTCTGCTTGCCACCACCCAGAGGGACTCGATGCCTCTGAGTGCAGGTAGCAACAAGCCTTGGGAGCCACAGGAACACCAGCTGGAGCCACTAGCCCAAGGACTGCATACCCAGCAGTGCCGAGCCAGGTATCTGCAGCCAGGATTTAATTCAATGACAGCATCAAAGACACGAATTGCTGCAGAAGTTGGATCAGCTCTCCTCTCCCAGGGTCCCCCCAGTCCTCCACTTGGCTCTGTGAACTCACCGCAGGGCTTCAGATCTTGAGCAGCAAGCACTGCAAAGCGTGGTCTTATCAGGCTATATTTGTGTAGCCAGCACACTCTCCTGGCACAGAGGTGGCATCGCTTTGTAGCTCAGCAAGATTAAAACCCAGGTTTTCAACTGGATAACTCCTTATATTTTTGATGCAGAAAATTGCTGCTGCAGTGGATGCTGCCTGGAGGGAATCTAAGTGCCCCAAACCATGAAAGCAGATAGCAGCCTGAGCCTGATGCACACATCCATGCACGTTTCCTGGTGAATAGCCCAAAGCGTGTCAATACAGTGAATTTTCTAAGTCACGCAGACAAAATACTGATTTGCTCAGGAGAAGCGTGGTACAGGCAAAGCACTGCTTGTTCGTGACTGGGGCAGCCACCTCCTGCTTCAGAGCTCCGTGGTTGCACCTTCAGCCCTGCCAGCATTGCCCTGGGAGCACACATTGATCTGCAAGATGGACCCAGCTCTCCTACTCCTCAGTCCTGCACTTTCTGCCCTTCACAGCAGAGGAATACTCAGTGCTTCAGGAAACTGGATTCTGCAGGAGCTGCTTTACTCACAAAGGGGTTCTACTGGATTGAACCTCCAAGTCCCTGCACACTCTTTATTTTCCAGCTCACCCAGCTAAAGCTCATTGGATTGGAAAGATAATCCAGTAAGTATCAGTTAATACAACTGACTTTGCAAGGGTTGGATTGCCCTAGTGCATGAGACTAAGGGACAGGCCAGAAGGGAAAGATGGCTGACATCTCTGCTATAGTAAAGCTGTTTCTGTTAAACCCAGGGCAATTTCCTTTGTACAAATGAAGGCTCACTTTCAGCCTTGTCCAGTGTACACAGGCTGGAGTTCCTCCACTATGGAAGTGTATAGCGATTTTCATGGGGAATGAAAAACAGTAGAAGACTCCAGAAGACAAATGAACAGGAATACACAAAGGAAGTGATGAAGGAAGAGGCTAAAATACCTGTTGCAGTGCTGCTTCTTTGCATCCTGTTTGAGTCAGTATTTGCACTATGAAGTCCCAGCTGGAAGAATTCATTTGCCACTCTTGAAGACTAAATTGCAGTGAACTTACTAAGAGCCTCAACCAAAGTCTGAAGAGTTTGGTGAAAGCTTTTTGCTGCCCAAATGTTCTGTTGTGTAGTTAGTACTGAATTAAGCTCTTTCAATCTTAATCTCAGAACCATCCCCTTACTGGTACATTGGAGAGACAGCTTACATGTTCAGGGCTGGATGGAACACACACCTCAAGGGCTCTCTTCAGCTACAGAGGCATCTTCTGAACAGTTATCCTGGCTCCAAAACAGCAGTGATACCCTTAGTGCCCTCAGTTACTTTCTCAAGCACAAAATGTGCTTTGGCATCTCCATTCATATATCACAAAAACACCACATATGGCAAGAAAAGAAGAAACAGGCTTTTTGTTACACGGAAATGCCATTAACCAACAGGCCAGGGTTGCTGCAAGACAGTTCAGCCCATGAAAAATTAAAGGCAACATGGACCTCTAATGCATCATGTATCAGGAGAACCATTAAGTAATCAGTCGGCATACAGTTTTATAGGGCATTTTGAGCATAATTCAATCTTCATTCATTTTAGATCATTTCCTTAATGAAGTAATGCACTGAACATAAATATTTCAATGCAAGTCTCTAATGCCCTTTAAGTAGCAAGCAGCCTTCAGTAACACAGAACCCAATTAAGCTGTAAAGGGTAAATACTGCAAAAGGAAGAAGGACAAGATACAAGAACAGTTACGTGCTTCAGACCGTGGGATTGAGGCAGACAGATACAGCCGTGCTTTTGGACCAAACTAAAATTAAGGAGGCATGAACAGCAGTGAGAGCTGGTGCTGGTGAGCTGCTACTCCTGCATCTGGGTGCCTCCCCCTTGCACAGGAAGCACCATAGTTAATTTGGGCTGAGGACCATTCAGTTTCAAGCTGGTCAAGCACCATCATAGTGATATTTTCAGGCATGCAATGGAAGCTACCAATGTTCTTCACAGCAGTGATGCTTTTTCTGCTTTCGTGTACAGAAAACATGGGAACAGTTTAACAGGAAAAAGGTTTCCCTAAGTGCATTACAGGAGAATTTTGCTAGAGAGCATCTCTCTCCCACTGGATACAGGCAGGTCCATGGAACTTCTTGACAGTCGCTTGGCTGCAGAGCCTGGACCTCAGGAGCCACCCACAGTGGTTCCCTGGGAGAAGAGCTGCAAGACAGTCCCATGCTGAGCACCCAATGCACCCACGGCAGCTCCCTGGCAGTGCTGCACAGCAAGAAGCCACATCACCAAAATAGAGTTTCTGGAAGCACCCTTAAAGAGCTTCTTTGCCAGGCAGCAGCCACAGGTTTCTCTGAGGTCTCACTCACACTATAGCAAGAAAAGAATCCCCAAAGCCCTACAAGCCAGAAAAACACATTTGCTCCTTTTAAAACCACAGGCTGAAGCATTTCACACCAACAGCCACTGCAAGCATCGTGGTGAGGAGGGAAACTGCAAAATTCATCTTCGGATGAGAGAGCAGCTGCAATCCTCTGAGGGGAAAAGTAAGAACAACGCTCATTGCTATTCGATTAGCAGTGGGTTTGTCTATGTCCCGTACAGGAAACAGCTGAGCTGCCTCTCTGCTGCACTCTGACCACTAGAGAGAGCCATGGGATAAAGCATGCCTCCCACTCAGGGACGAAGGAAAACCTCACTCGAAGTGAAATTAAAACATTTTTCCACTTTCATCTTTTTTTTTTTTTTCTTTTTTTTTTTTTTCCCCTACAGTGTTATAACTTATTTTTTATTATTACCCCAGCTTTATTTTCAAGGTCTTATTTTTAAAGGTGGTAGTGCAGAGCAAGCTCCTATTTCTGCTACGTGGTGCACCAGGGAATAAGGTTCAAAGAATAAGCCCACCTCCTTGGCCATGTTCACACTGCCTTCATGAGTACGCCACTAATCAATCACAATGGTGATAGTTTGTATGTAAATGCTGCTTTGCCCTACTTCTGCAGGAACTCCCTGGTCTTTGGAGTTATGTGCTCTTTTAGAGTAGTTTCTGTTCAAACTCCAGGTAGGTTGGACTGCGACACACGGCTTGGGGGCCCACATGGCAAGAACTCCCTTTGTTTCTGGGGCTTTGTCCTGATTGTCATCAGTAGATCAGAACATTTAGAGAAAACAAAGTCATCCCAGCTGAGCAGAAGTGACTTCCAGTGCCAGGTATGAAAGCAGAAAGGGTGGGAGGGACCAGCCTCGGTTGGCTGTGTCAGCATCCCCAGCCTGCAGAGAGCCATGTGCAATTAACGTTCACTTCGTGCAGCTGAATTACCTCCTGCTGCCTTGGGCTGCCAGGGTAGCCATTACCAGGTGGTCAACTGTTGCTGGAGGTAATTACTTTTAACCGTTAAACTACAAAGCACCTGTTTTCCAGCCAGGCTAGGATGCTGACGCTCTCAGAGCACCCTCTGGTGACAATCAGATGTGTGGACACAGCACCCGGGGAGGATGATGAGGAGAGGAAGGCTGTGGTGTGTAATGCGCTCTGGGCTCAGCCCAGCAAAGGGATGCTTATAAATAGAGATGGGATATGTCAA